TCTGCGCAGCACATGTATCCAGTTCAGTATTTGGCAGCTTATGGCCCATGAACTGGATCTGGCCAGCAAAGAGGTCAGATCTGACCCAGTAAGGGAAGCTGGTGGATCACGTCACACACAGCTGCCTGTCCCCTCTGCAGCACCCTTCCTGCTGCTCTGTTGTGCCTGTGCTTATCCTCACTGAAGAAGGGCTGGAGGCTTGAACTCTCTGCAGGGCAGAGATTTGGTCACATAATGGGATTGATGCACAAAATTCTTTCTAGTGGAAGTTCATCTCCTCCACCTGTAAACTACTGGAATTCAAGATTTTCCAAGGGAGACAGGAGAAAAAAGCCACACTTAATCCCCTAGCTACCTGAATCACCCTCACTGCCACAGTATCTAAGACTGTTTACAGACATTAAAAAAATAAAACAAAAACAAAAAAAACCTCCACACATTTTATCAGAAAAGACCATGTGTTAGTTTGACTTGGCTTCACAGTGTCTGCATAGATCGGGTGCTTCAGCAGGGCTTATTGGCGCTTTTATCTACAGCTGATTCAATCAGCTATTAGATAAAAGCACCAAAAAATCTCCATGAAAGCTCACGATCTATATAGACACTGCAGAGCCAAGTCAAACTAACCTTCTGCCTTTTCTGGGCATGAGATGGGCTCAACATGAGAGCATGCTGATCCTAAAGTAAAATAATGTTTTGTTTTTTAATGACTGCAAGCAGTCTAAGTGACGGACAAGTGTCAGTAGAATTTATCATTAAAGACCCGGTGAGGAAGGGAGGAATTAGCAACATATTAAAGATAGGCTAATAAGCTATACAGCAATTAAAGAGTTTACCCAACACCCCAGAAGAAATGTGTAGGTCAGTAGAAGAATTCCAGTCCCATGCCCTAGTGTTATACTTTCTTTCCTCCTCTGGCACCACTTTTAGATTACTGCATGTTTACTGATCAACGCAGTTACTTCATTTAGTCAGTCATAGCATTCTATTATGCTGTTTTCTACACAAAAAAATACAGCCCAAACTAATGTTTACCAGAACCTATTTTCACTATTTTTTCTATATTCCAACCTTAGGTTCACATGAGCATCACTTTTGCTGTCACTTCCACAGTTCTTTTATCTGTGCTCTACATTTACATAATCACAAGCTTCATTAAAACATTTCAGTGATATTTAGATCTAGTTTTCTTATTTACAGTTTCAAAAATGAAAGAGAAGATACTTATTAACAAATTTCTATATGTATACAAGAACAAAATGGATATATTTGGAAAATCAAAGCTATAAAATGCACATCAATTCTTTGATTTGAGTCTGTCTTAAAACACATGCTCAATATTTCTATATAATATATCAAAATATCTGATCAGCTGAGGAAGTCCTGCTATTAGACCAAGGAGTTAGAGTACCTAGGATGAATTCTTGGTTCCGCTACTGAATCATTGTACAACTCTGGACAACTTATTTAACCCCACTGTCACTAAAACTTTAACATGGGTAGAAAAGGCCTGCCTTATTTATCTTTACAATGCTTCCCTGAAGTTTAACTGGCATTTGAAAATGTCTACACCAAATGTAATGTTACTACGAAAGTGTACAGTCCTATATTTATGTTAGCAAGTGAAAGTTTACCATGAAAACAATATTTCACAGAACAATTTACAGAGGCTACCCCCTATAAAAAGGGTCTAGCATTTGGGGATATCCTCCCCTGCACTCATCCCTGCCCAAACCAGCCAATTTTCACCTGTGTACAATAAATACTATTATAAGAAATGCTCCAGGCATTTGTGAGAAAGTGTTACAAACCTACAGACTTTCAAGAATGCCCTCTTCAGTGTGAATGTTTATTTGAGTGCAATCCAAACTAACCATAACTAACTAAAGCATATCAGGACACATACACTCTCTACTGCTAGTGAAACTTTCTGCTTACTTTTACCCCTTTGTGCATACCCAGCCATCTCAGGTGACAAAATAATGTGAAATTGTTATGTCTAAGACAGCTGAGCACCTGCAAAAATAACCTTCCAAAAATATTTATTATTTAGTCCACTCAGCAGCTGGAAAAACAATTACTTACCAAAGACCGTTGATATTTCGTATTACTTAACTGTTGGAAAAGCTACTTGAGAAACATTATTAAAGTTTACCTTGGTTGTTTAAAAATCTCTCTCATATTTGGGACTACTCAGGCACTGGACAAGCCACTTTTTCACACTATTGAGTGGCCATATGTATCTCAAGGTAAAAAGACATACAAAGTGAGATTGTTTTGAATCTGATAATCAATTAAGGGCTTTGGCATAATTCATTTTAAAATTGCTAAAGCAATACTTCTGAGACCAAAGGTCTCAATCCAGCCTAGGATTAAGTCAAGACCACCTCAGAATGAGCTACATGTATAACTAGATCAAATACATAAATCTAGCATTAACGTCAAGTATTCTGCACAGTGCAAATATAGTAACAAGAAATAAAATACAAAATAACAGTAATAAAACCAACCACAGTCAAGTTAGACAAGTTGGTTCCCTTTGCATTTCAAAAATTCATTCTTATTTATATTGTGGTAGCACTTGCTGGGCCATTTAGGACTGAGTTCTCCTTTTGCTGTCCTATGTGTTGTATAGGACAAGCACTAAGGCCAGATTCTCAAGGCACCAAACTCCTATTGATCTGAGTGGGAGCTAAGTGCCTGAATACCACTCAAGAATTAGGGAGTACACGCTAAACAGCCAATGTATGTGTGAGATGTCAAAAGTATAAATCTTTTTACTTAAAATAGTTTTCCCCAGGCAATTCCTTTGCTACCCCACTTGTCCAGGTAGCTTAGCCAATTCACTCTACCACTATCAATGAACTTGACCCCATTCTCCCACCTTGCCCACCCACAGTTATGGAATTTGGCATAACCATCCCACAATGCCTAGTTAAGTATTCAACACTCAAAGTGATGGTCAATGGGATAAGTGGCAAACAGCATACTGCAAAATTGAGGCAAAGCATATTGTAGTGAAATTCACCTGGACCAAAAGTTTCAGCTATCAACACAGAGCAGAAGGATTTTAAGATCTATTCCAGAACAAGCAGACTGAATTGATCCAATTTATTTAATATCAAGTGCTTAAGAGACCAGATGAACTGAACTGGAATTTGTACCTTTTATTACCACCTGACATGGAAGGACTGTTTTTTTCTTAAGGTGTTGGGCACTCTGTCCCCAGGCCAGCAAAGCACATGCTTACTTTTAGTGCATGAGTTGTACTTTATAGGCCTAAATCCCACAATCATTCTCTTTGCCTAGGAAGAGGCCAGTATTGTTCAGGGCCATTTTAAAGGTACGTTGGATTGTGCATCTTAGAGAGAAGTTGTTTTTCCTACACAGGAACAGAGGAAACATGAAGAATTGTAGGGGCTGCCCTTCTCTCTCCTTGCCAGGCCAAGGGATGGATGGGCAGAGTTCACTGTCCAGGGTCAGAGCTACAGTACTAACCCTTTCACAACCACTGAGCAACCAAAACCCATTGCCTATTTGGCAGCAGCTGTGAAAAGGTTAACATAACCTTTTGATAATGCTATAAAGTGTACTCTGCCTTCATGGTCAGGACTGAGCCTTGAATATGTTCTTTTTGTTCTTTTAATTTCTTTTCATTGAATTCTGCCTTTCCAAGATAGGGTGCATTTTATATTTGGGGGCTGAGGCAGGAAAGGAAAAACAATACTTTATTGACAATACTAAAAAAACCAAAACAAATTATAAAACTGAGGGCAACGTAAGCAGGAAGGAGAAGGAATCTGTGTTAATTTAACAACCATTTCAAACTAGGACCTTTTTTGCTAAGTGACCTTAATGCCTATTTGTATGCGATTTCCTGAGAAATCTCTTGGAGTTTATAATTAAAAATGTGTTTTAATTTTTAAACACCAGCAAATCCAGCTTGGAACAGGGTTCTTATTTGTTCATGTGTCATCATCACCATCACTGAGGAATCCAGAAGGCAAAATTCAACCCTTGCTTATAGCTACATGAAATTATATGGGTTGTGTTAATATGATTAGATTAATATGGCCAGATTAGATGATAATATAGACCTTTCTAGTCCTAAAGTCCACAAATCTACAAATTATTTCAAATCAAAGCAAGTAAGTTACTGTCTGCACCACACAGAATCATGCTAGGAAGGGATTTCCAGGGTTATCTAGTCCAACCCCTTGCACAGTTGCAGGATTTGCTACTCCTAAATCATCCCTGTCAATCATTATTGTGCCCTTCTTGAGTCTCCAATGAGACTACAATTTCCTTAGGTATATTTGCACTGGAGGGTTGAACTGCTGCAGTTATGCCAACATAGAATACAATTCAAGATTATTTGCAGTTTTAGGTGTTTCACAAGGTAAGATTCCTTACTGCTCTGTGAGGATGAGGATTTACAAACTAGCTGGGAGTATATACAACTGCAGCAAACAGTTGCTTGGGACTGCAGAGGGGCATCAGCTGCCTAGGACCACTACCCAACTCCAGCTGAACAGACAATGGTTCTTTTTGAACTAAAACTGCACTAGTTCGTCTTTAGTTTGCCATGCCACTGTGAAGGAAGTGGATTAATCTGGGTTCTACTGTACCTATACCACTACAAAATAGAAATATAACCCAATGAGGATGACGCCAAAGCCACACACAAAGGCAAAAACATGCACTGACAAATGGCAAAAACCTGCATGGATTTTCTTTTAATTTCTCTTCAGATTGATGTAGAGATGCTTATATTTTTCTAGAGAGCTTTTTGCAAATGCATCTAGGAGCTATAAAATAAGCTGAAAAAAGAGACTCTGCCCATATTTCCAAGGCATGAGCCCTCTGTATGCACTTTAGACAACATGGCAGCTTGCGATGTTCACTACTACCATTTAACAGACAGTATGTTAAACCATAACATTGTAGGGAGCAATTTTAAAAAACAAATAATTTTACACCGCATGTTCAAAAATACTTACCCAAGACACAGCCCCTGGCAGCTCTTTCCAGGGAAACAAATTGCAGCTTTAAGCAGTTTACTGTCTCATAAACTGGCTGTTGTGGCTCAGCTCCTCTCACAGAAGCAGCACCTACAGATATACCTGAAGAGGAAACACAACCAAAATGCTTTGTGAGCAAATATGTAAATCCACTTAACTCTGTTTACCAAGATAGGTCCAAAAGCAGTTTCAATGGAAGTATATAAAATTTTCCAACTGGCTTAGAAATGCAGCCTCTCTACAGCAATTACTGAAGGACACCAGAGACGCATCTAGAATGGTCTTTACATTTCTTAATTGCACGTAAGAAAATAATATATTAGTGCATCAAATAAGCCAAAACTCAGTAAAGAATCCTTATTTTTTTTCTTTCCTTAGATGGAGGAGATGACGGTTATAAGCTCTTAAACTGAGAGGCAGTTGAAATTCTGTGGCTTATGAATATTTTATTGATTTTTTTGTGAAAGAAAATGTCTGCCTTTTTTCGACTACTTCATAAAGCTGGTCAAAACTTTTAAATGTTAAGCCTTTCAATGAAGAAGTATATTTAAAAAATAGCAAAAAATTTTCACACTTTTTTCAGCCAGCTCTACTTGGATTGTTCTTAAGGAACGTATGATGGAATTCAGGCCTTCACTGGAATCTGTGGCAAAACTCCAGCTGATTTCAGTGGGAACAGAAATTTCTCATCTTAAGCTCATATTCAAACAAATATATATATATATATAAATAAATAAAAGATGAAGATACTAGTACCATTAAAAAACAAGGTTTTCTTGTATGTGTGTTTGCTCATTAAACCGAGGCACAAGCAATTAAATGAATGGGCAAATTAACACAGACCTGTAAGGGCACTGCACTGGGGGAGCTACAGTTGCTTATTTTTTAAACCAATTTTAATCTGCCACTGCAGGTCTGTACTGTTGCTTTCTATTAGATACATTTCCTAGCCTTCCTGCTCTGTACTGAATCCCTTTATTCCACCCACATCCTATCATAACTCATATTGCCTGGACTGTTACTGAGACTACTACCGTCACAATGAGCTGGACAAGGAAGAAACAGTGACACATCTTTTTGCTAGGCTTGTATCAACTCATCCATTGTACACAAGGCTGATATTCTTTAAAAATGTTAAATCCCTTCTAAAAGTAGTTACTGGACCTGACTACGCATGACAGAAGATTAATTTTTGAAAGCTTAACCCTATATAACCCTATATGTTTAACGATTTCTTTGCCTCTGTCTTCCTAAGTAGGGACCAGAACAGCCACCTCCCTGCTGGGCCCCCCTCGGGCCCTGGGGGGAGGCACACTTGGGCCAAGGGTTAGCGAGGAAGTAGTTAGGGAGCTTCTAGAGGGGCTGGACGTATTCAAGTCAGCCGGTCCGGACAATCTCCACCCTAGA